AGTAAGTGCTCCTTTTCAGGTACGAGAAGTGCCCTTTTTCACTTTTGATAAGTGCCCCCTTCATCTTGGATAATTGCCCTATTCAAATCTGAGAGGTGCCTCTGTTACTGTGACAAGTGCCCCTTTTCCTTTGTAAGAGTTTCCCCCTTTAAATAGCTACCCCCATTTTAACTCGGATAAAGCAAATATTTTCACATGTTCCCCTTTACCTTTCTAATAAGCGCCCCCATTAAAAAAGAGCCCCTTTACCTTATCATAAATGCCCCTTTTCATCTCTGGTAAATGACCTTTTTCAGGTACGAGGAGTTACTCCTATCAACTTCCGATAAGTGCCCGCTTCACTTCCGATAAATGCCCCTTTAAAATCTGATCGGTGCCCATTTTCTTTCAACAAAATAATGCACATTTTCCTTTATTAAAAGTGCCCCTTTTTTATTCACATAAGTGCCCCTTTTTATATCTGGTCTTTGCCCATTTTCAGGTGCGATAAGTGCCTCTTTTCACCTTTGATAATTTCCTTTTTACCAATGATACGTGCCCCTTTTCCTTTCTAATAAGGGACCTATCCCCTTTTCATAAATACCCTTTTCACCTTAAATGCCCCTATCAAAATCTGATGGGGGCCCCTTTTCCGTCGACAAATGCCAATTTTCCTATTCTCATGAATGACTTTTTTCATCCCTGGTGAGTGCCTCCTATTGAAGTTGTAAGAAATGCCCTATTTTCACCTCTGATAATTATTTTGTTGTACTGACACATGCTCTTTTTCTAGAAAGTGCCCTTTTTTCTTGGTGCCCCCCCCCCCACTTTGGAAGTCGCTCGGCCGTCCCTGCCCTTCGACCATAATAGCCTGGGCTTGATAGGGTATATTTATATACACCGGTTATGGGGACATATATATATACCGGGCTATGGGGACATTGATATATACCGGGCTATGGGGACATTGATATATACCGGGCTATGGGGATATATACCGGGCTACGGGGACAAATGTCCGCGCACCACGGTCTGGTACAGACAGACTAATTTTGTTTTTATTTGAATGTATTTCGTATTTCAAATGATATATAATGATATATAGTTTCGCCTCGAATAGCTTTACATATCCTACGTTGAGATTGCTTTAATAACCCACGGCAAGTCCAAGTCCCCGTAACGCGGTCTCATACACAAGTCCCCATAGAACTAGTTTTATATGTATATATATATATATATATATATATATATATCGATACATGCATATACACACACACAAAACACACACATACGTGTATTTATGGTGGAGTGGGGTGGGGGGCTGAAGAAAATCCAACAAATTAGGAGACGCAAATAGAGACAATGAATGCAAGAAACTTCACAGCCGACCAAAACCACACAGTACCCCGTCCCCATAATTATTCTTCTAGAACAACTCCTGACCATTATAGCAATATTTGGAAGAGTTGATGTCTTCAAATGTATGTGCAAAGTAAAACAATCAATAAGCAAGAGAAATCGGATTGGTAAATATTAACTTATTTTATTTATCATCATTAATATTCCTATTCCTATTAATATTCTCATTATTGTTATTATTTTGTTGGGAGGGTGGGAGGGGGGGGGGGGGGGCGGGGATTCTTATAGGCACTAATTTACAAAACAGCCTTCGCCTGCGTTATGGCTGAAACGATAACCAAGACATGAAGCCATGAAACATCATGATACGCGAGTACCCCATGCCAATCCTTGACCCTCTGAACATTTCAAAAAGCCTTCGGGAATTACACGGTTTTTTAAAAATCCATGTGTAACGTCTATGGGAGTTAGATACACTATGAATATGACGGACAAAGAAAGAGGACATAATATACAGTTCCTCATTCTACTACCCTCAGCAATTGCTGTGGTAGACAAAGGAACATCCCTTCACTGCTATTATGTAAAATAAGTCGAACAGGTGAATATGCATGTGACACCTGTTCTACACATTTTTACATAACAGCAGTGAAGGGATGTTCTTTTGTCTACCACAGCAATTATTGAGGGTGGAATGAGGAACTGTATATTTTGTCTTCTTTCTTTGTCCGTCATGTTCATAGCGATAGCTGAATAGTCAAAGGATTAGGCAAACACTACAAATTGATCTGAGTAAATCTCTTCGAAATTAGTTGGGTGGGTGTAACGTTATCTGTAGTGAAACGAGCTTCTATTTCCTATTCAAGAGTTACAAATAATTTTCAAAAGAGCACACAAACAGAACTCTCAAGGTTTCATACATTTTCTCGATTGTTTCACATCGGAAGGATATGACATCTTAACAAGTCATAAACATTTTGAAAGTGCACGTTAACTCTTCGTAAAGACTTTTGTTGTGGCAAAGGATTCCGGGAGCATGGTACTTGACAGTATTACATCTGCTTCGCTCTATTTCACTTTCCTAAAGTTTCATTAAGGTTGTAAGGGCAGAACAGGGATATCGGAAGGGGGGGGGGGGGGGTGGGGTGAGTTAACAACAAGTTTGAATTGTATTTTTGGAAACAAAATTTGAAAGAGTTAATAACATCCATTATATTTTATCACATTTTAGTTTAGTTTGAGTTCCTATTTTTTTTAATTTTTTTTTTTTTTTTTTGGGGGGGGGGGAGCTATCTCTTATTTGAAAGGAATGCATATCAACATCCTGGTCTGACGATCATAATTATAATGTTAATAATTTTAATAATGATAATGTTCATATTCATAATCATAATAATAACAACAATAGTAAAAGTGATAATAACAATGATATTGGGATTTATAACCGTATGCAGGGGCTTCATGGCACTGTCCTTAGTTTATGCAACGATTAAGAAGAAAAAAGATGAGGTAAGCTTTTATATAGATGTGTTTGAAAAGTTTAATGAAGTATTACATATGACTTAGATATGTGAGTAATTTGCTATATAGGCGTAAGGCAGGTAATTAAAAATATAACAATAACCAATATTCCCATGAGCTCCAATTAGACGATCGCAAATGCTTTCGAAAAAATCAACTACATTTAATTTTTATAACCGCATTGTGCCTTGCATATATCGTATAAACTCTACAGATGTTATAACATCTAGACCTACGTTGCTGTAATGGTCACATATTTAAGTAGTCAGGCGATGGACATCCCCCAACTCCTACCCTCTTTCAATTCCCTTGTAATTTCGCGTGGGAAGAGCTGTATCACCTGTATGCATGATCTGTTGCTTTTCGAAACTAACACTTGAGTCTCTGCCTTTGTCCCATTTACAATCCTTCTGCAATTTGAATACGTCCACCAAAAAAAAAAAAAAAAAAAATCATACAAAATAGTGTCGCAACTTATCTACAATTTTTTTTCTTCTCACTACCCAGACTTGCTTTCTAGAGCATTTCTAGAGTCTATCTATTCATATAAAAGAGGTGATTAAAAAGGGGAAAAGATGCGTTCTTTTTTCGATGGTTTTAGCCCTCCAAAAGACAGGTACTGAAATAATAGCTCAATAGAATTTATATCTTGATGAAACCAATAAAATAAAACAAAAGAGATGGTAATGTATTTCCCTTTTTTTCTTTTCTAATTTTCTGTTTTCTCCCGTTTCTGCTTCTTTCACGGCGCTGTAGCGACAGCAGCCTTACTGTTCGTCAACGGTTACGCCATTAGACACAATCCTTTTAAAAACCAAGTGAATTGCTACAATAATGATAATGTTATTAATAATAATAATAATAATTTACCGATATTGTATAGCTCATATCACTTCATGATATAACGTCTCTATTCACTTACGAAGGATTTCGGGTACTATTTTCTCAGAGTTAGCTCCGGCAACTGTAGCGCTCAGTGCATTCAAGGAATACATCCTACCTGGTACACACTTAAAATAGTTGGGCAAAAAAATGCCCAACTTTTAACCAACACTGAGCAACATACGGTCCACACAACTATTGGTTAAAATCTGCCCAACTGATGTTGGGTAATCAGTTTGCTATGTGGTTGGGCAAATCAAATTGCCCATCAGTTGGTGACCCATCATATTTTACCCAACTCTACAATTGCCTAACAGTTGGTTATATTTTCAGTTGGGTAATTTCTTGCCCAACCAATTTTACCCAGTTAGATATTGCCCAACCTTCTATTTGCCCAACTTTTGAGTAAGTTTAATGTTGGTTAATTAAATGCCCAACCAGTTTTTACCCAACTCCCAGTCTGCCCAACTATCAAAACACCCATCTATTGGGTAATAATTGCTCAACAATTTCTCTGCAACATCCATTTGCCCAACTCTCAAAACACCCATCTATTGAGTAATAATTGCTCAACAATTTCTCCACAATATCCATTTGCCCAACTATCAAAACACCCATCTATTGGGTAATAATTGCTCAACTATTTCTCCACAATATCCATTTGCCCAACTATCAAAACACCCATCTATTGGGTAATAATTGCTCAACTATTTCTCCACAATATCCATTTGCCCAACTCTCAAAACACCCATCTATTGGGTAATAATTGCTCAACAATTTCTTCGCAATATCCAGTTGCCCAACTCTCAAAACACCCATCTATTGGGTAATAATTGCTCAACAATTTCTCCGCAATATCCATTTGCCCAACTCTCAAAACACCCATCTATTGGGTAATAATTGCTCAACAATTTCTCCGCAATATCCATTTGCCCAACTCTCAAAACACCCATCTATTGGGTAATAATTGCTCAACTATTTCTCCACAATATCCATTTGCCCAACTCTCAAAACACCCATCTATTGGGTAATAATTGCTCAACTATTTCTCCACAATATCCATTTGCCCAACTCTCAAAACACCCATCTATTGGGTAATAATTGCTCAACTATTTCTCCACAATATCCATTTGCCCAACTATCAAAACACCCATCTATTGGGTAATAATTGCTCAACTATTTCTCCACAATATCCATTTGCCCAACTATCAAAACAACCATCTATTGGGTAATAATTGCTCAACTATTTCTCCACAATATCCATTTGCCCAACTTTTTAATTCGTCTGTTGGATAATCATTGCTCAACATTTTTTCCATAACATCTATTTGCTCAACTCTTTTTCTCATCTAAAGGGTAATAATTGCTTAACTGAAACACAAATAACATACACAGTAAACACATGTTGTTGTTTTCATCAGAAACGTAAAAACAAAACTTGTTCACATCAACTACAACATTACAATTTTTGGTGAAAAAAATACAACCTTTTAAAAAAAGTAAATGCAAATATAGCCCCTGTTTGGTGCAGCATGACAACTTTGATGTACACTGTATGTATCCCATGTACTCCCATGTGTGGCATAGTGTTCATTTATCCTGACACACCAATACTCTGCCTTAGAGTGTTACACATGCACACATTTTTTTGAAGTGAAAAAAAAAGAGGAAATAAATTCAAATCCCTCTAGATTATTTGACATGTGCAGAAGTACCACATGAAAGTTTGGCTATCTGTGATGGTGAACAGGTACTGATCAAATAACAAGGATACACACTGCCTACTATAACTTTTTGATTAGATTAAAGACAACAAAAATCAATTGACCCTACCTGCTATACTCAGTTTGATTGATTTTATTGATATTATCAATAATATCAATACAATTTTGCAAAATGTAGATGAAAATGTTGACTTCTCTACTTCTGCTTTGCGCGATGTAAATTAATGCATGCAGTCCATTCAGCAGAGAGTTCAGCGTAGGGTCAATGGACGATACACATTACATGAAAATTAATGGTATATGTAATTTACAATCATATACCCCACTTGCTGTTTTAAACGTCATAAATATCATAGCTCATGTTTTATGAAGAAATATATCATTTTGATGTACGAGTTATGAAACAGTACTCTTGGGATTAAGACCAAACACGATAAGCATTTGTATACGCCAGTGCAAAAGATTTATAGCCAATAATATGTTTTGTATTTATACTTGGCATATATTCATTTGTTTTCTTAAACTTTCAAGGTGGGGATGTTAAGCAATGATTGGGATAAAACAATTAGGCCTTTATCATTTTTAAAATGTACACAAAGACTTCTGCTGTGTATAAATTCTCTCTTTTTTTTTTATATTATTCAGCGATCCTCACCCCACCCTCAAATCTTCAGTCTTACACAAACATGTCTAAATTATGTAAAATAATGTGCTGAATCCAACTCATAACAGTTTGTCTTTAAGGTTATTTTGTCCAAAATAATACTTTTTTCCAGTTTTTTTTCTCCCAAAATAAACTGGTTCAAGTAGCCAAAATGTGCTAAACGATGATGTGTCAGTTTCATCTGTAGGAAATATATCACCAGTAATCATCCTTGGCGTGAACACATCATGATGGCTTATGGCATGTTCATGAAGGCTCGGACCTCCCGCAGCTTTGGTGTAAGATGCTCCCCATCGGTAAACTGGAACACCACAATCTGGAGAAATTTCCAAACAGAACAGCTTTGCGGCTGATATTCGATATCCATCACATAAAGTGCCTTAAAGCACAAGTCGACTGCTTTAAGCAGTGTTGCGGCAGGAAGTATCCTCCTCTCTACTACGACGTACGCCTGTATTGGTGTGAGAATGTTCCCACGCACAACAACAAATGGCTGTGACCTGACTGCTTCATCAATGTTATCAACATAAGTCTGGATGTCGAGAACCTCCTGTAGTCCAAAGAGAAATCAAGAAGAAATCATTTGTAATTATATGGATTGATATATATATATTTGATGCTTGTCGAATGCTTCTGCTTATGAATCCACAATCACCTACAGGACACCCAAATTTGTTTATGCATGTTCATCCCTGTCCCATCAAAACATTACTGGGTATTCTTACATATCCCTGCGGCAAAGGTCAACTGTACCCAAACTGGTCACGTTCAGAGCATTACATCAACTAAGCTGGAAGGCATATACAGCCTGTTAATATAAGCATGCATTTTTCACATGTCATTTGCAGGTTAAAGGACTTGCTTGCATTCATGAGTGAAATGCGATGTGATGACAAATCTGAGGCCATTTGTAGTTGTACCACAGATAATGACGAACTGACTTATTAAGATTAAAGCGCCTAGTGTTGCCCCTGCAGGGCCTCCTTGGGGACCAGCGTGCCCATTACTAGGAACTTGAAAATGGTTGCTTTTCAAGTTTTACACAAATAAAATGTTATGGCAATGCCTTATCTGGTAAGAACATAGGTATTGCATTTCAACCTCAATTTCATCAGTTGTCCTAGGTTTGAAACTCTTAACAAATTAACTATTGAATTTGTTTGTAATGAAATATGATTACTATGGCAAGATTTTAAACACAAACCAAAATATATGCCTTACATGTCATTACTTTACCACCTCCCCAGCACATATACTTACTGGTTGAACGTCAATGAAGGACGACAATGTTTCTGCAGTGGTGTACGTTCCTCTCTTGGAATCTTTCCTTCCTCGGAACAAGACTGGGAGCATGTAGAATCCAAGATTGCTCTTTTCCTCTAAAAAGAGGGAAACAATGAAAGAGTTAAGTAATTAAGTCCCAATTACATATGAAGAAAAGGTGCAACAGCAAACAGGTCAATTATGGAACATCTTACAAAATGTACAGTTATATACAGCAAATTAAAAATAACGGTCGAATACAACAATTATTTTCTACAAATATGGGTAAAATCACTCAACGTAAATGTCAGTCAGTAATTTGGAGCTCAGCTTTCTGAGTAAAGAAAATCAAAATTGCACAAACTTCAGCATAGCCTTCCCAATGAGCTTTAAACCACCATCCCCACCCCAAAAAGCAAACAAACAAAACAAGCAAGTAAAAGTATGCTAAACCTTTGTCATGGAATCATGTTTTTATCATATGTTGTACATGTATTATATGTTTCAGAGCACTTTTATTTATTTCAGTTCAATTCCTTACAGGGGGGATATTAGACTCAATGTTTGGTCCTGGCCACAAAAATAAACATCATATAGTGTAATTGAAATAAATTCTTTTGACTTTCTCTCAAGTCATTTTCACTAATACTGTCAAATGTGTGTTCTGACACCACATACCAAGACTGAGTTTCCCAGGGTCATGAATGTTTTCGAATTCGGCTCTTGCACTTCTCCAGTTGCCAGTTTTCTCGGTGAAGTCCACTACTTTGTTACAGAATGTGGGCCACTTCTGGTACAGTGCGTTTGCTTTCTCTGGGAACAATTCTGCAAAATCTCCTTCAATCTGTAATTGTTAGGATAGTTATAGAAGCCAGATTAAAGGTAGGATATCTTTCATTTGCATCTTCTCTTTACCATTTTGCAAGGATTTGAATGGTACACACTAACAATTATCGGTTCAATAGGGATGCACGATTTCTGTAGGACCGTGTATCTCAGATTGTTAAACGATCCCTTTAAGGAGACTGCTAAAGTAAACCTGCCCATGCAACCAAAAAACAAAAAAGTTACTTCTCAAAACATGCGACTCTAGTTTAATTTAATGTCCTTTCTTGTCACATGCAGAAGAAAAATCAAGGTCCACATACCATTCCAGCATCGAGAAGTCTGGGATATGTGGTAAGAATGTTCTTCACACAACAGTCACTTCTCTTGATCCAGTCATGTCTTTTTGTTGCTGTTTGTTTCATGTAGTCCTTCACCATGTCCTCTGGCTCCTTGTTGTTACGCAGCCATTCTTCCATTGTCGTGATGTTATCATCGTTCACAGACTCAAGATCAGTATCTCCTGGATATAATGCAACAGAACAATCAACAATTAGCATGTATCAACAAGTTTTTGATGATTGTATTGGAAGGGGGGTTTTAGTTGACATTGCTCATGCCCCACCAGTTTGTTATGGCACAGCATGACTTCATCAGCCGGATCTGAATAACTCATAACTTTAACTATATGAAAAAGTAGCCAGAATACCTTGCTTTTGAGACTCTGCCTCGTCTTCAGCTACTGGTACCCTCAGGGACTTCTCCTTTTTTCTGACATACCTCAGATGCTCCTCCAGGTAGCCTGTTGCTGGCCGTCCCTTGGCCCCCACGCAGTACCAGGCCTCCTGCTCAAATAAATTAAAATTCCTTCATAATTCAACTTCAAAAACAGTAATGCTCAACAACATTTGTTAAACATTAATAATAATCAAATAAAAGCACAATAAAATTCCAGTGTAAACTGTACATTTACATATTTTGTTACATATGTCAGTGTTTGCAATAACAAGGTTTGTCCTCTTAAGTACCTATTTCTAACTGCACACTGTTATATTCCAGCAATGTCATCAGGTCATTGCAAAAACAAAGTGAATGATGGATAATTCTGTGAATATCCATTACTCAATGGCATGCAGACAAAAGTCTAAATATTAAGAGATGTGTCATTACTGGATAATATAACTTATAAACAAGTGGTAAAAATAAACAAAAATATTGCACGATTTAGTGATTGATGCCATATTAGCTTTTCATTATTTGTAAGCTTTTCAGGCCTGTCTACTGTCAAATTTACTATTGCCAGAGATGCTCTTATAATGCTTGTGATAATGTGATACAACATGCAATTGATTGAGCATCTCCAATATAATAAATACAAGAATAACAAAATTGAGGAAGCTTCATAGCAAGTTACACAAAATAATATGATCCAGTATTCCAAAAGTTATTGCATAAACACATAATTTATTTGATTTAGACCTTAAAGTAGCTTATTGCTTCTGGCTCAAACAGAAACTTCTCATAAAATTTCACTTTCTTGTAAATGGGGTCTGTGGGGTAGGGACAGATGGAGGTATGGATGGACAACCTAAGAATTAAGGCACCTCCAAGTAATAAATGCCCGCTGTGGTAAGAATCAATCCATAAATCAGTCCAGAAAAAAGTGGTGATCTGAGCCATACCTGAGGTCACATATATTAAGGAAAGCAATTCATGGACAGGACTTACATAGCCAAGTGGAGATTCTGGATCTTTTAAGAAAGGAAAGCTTGTCACAAGGGCATGGGCCATTGATGCCTTCACAAATGAGCTTGGCTTGGTACCATACTCCCGTATCAGGTACTGAGTCAACATATCCACAACAGTATGCCGGTCCCTTTTGCTGCAGAGATTTGTAGCATTGATGTTCCTTAATGCTGCTCTTCCCATGGTGGTCTCTCTCAATATACAAGCAATGTTCTGCAACAGATAAAGGATTTTTTTTTTAAAGATCAGTAAATTCAGAATAAACAAGTGAAATGTGACAGCATGCAGTCGGTGGGTATATCTCTGGCTGTCCGACCTCCTACAATAAGCCCATCATAAATCACTCACTGGGCATTCCTTCCAAACTTTGTTCTGATAAAAAATTTCAATGAAACCTTGAAACTGACCTTAGACTAGCTTAAAACCCATAACCCCAACCAAACATTTTCCATAACATTCCTTTATTCATTCATACCTAAATGTACCTACCAAATCATATCACTAGCCATTCTGCAGATGTAGAAATAAAATGGTATTTTTAGTAAAAACTTGAATAACCTTTGAACTGACCTTTCACCTTTGAGCCCTGCTGCTTGTCAGAAATACTGACAGACAGATAACTCCAAGACATAATGCCTCCGGCACTCTTATGTGTGGGAGGCATAAAAACTGATGAATGATGGTGACTCGACATGCCCACTCTTCAATTGTATCAGCCCACTATATACATAAACTTACGAAATGCACTTTCTTGACCCGTTTCAGGGGAGGATGTTGATCAGGACTCTTGGATTCTGGGGAGTCGTAAAGTGGCGTATCCAAACTGGGCTGGGAAGGGCTTTGTCTGGGACTCCACTCACTTCCTGTTACACAAGAGAGATCTGAGCAGTCATCTAAGGAGAACACTGATGGGCTTCTTGTCGACGTTGATGCTTGTTCCATGCTTTGTTGATTTGCAGCATGATACTACAATAAATAAATGAAAAATAATTGAACTTTCAATGTACATGTAAATGACTGATTATTCTTTACATTATTAATGACACAAACAGCCCCAGGTTAGACTTTAGTATCAAGTTTATTCCTTGAAGGGGAAAATCATTCTCACTGTTTCTGTACCCTTGTCCTGTTTAAAGCAAACCCATAATTGAAAAGTGGTCACTCATGAGCCGAAGCTTCTTCAGTACATCTATAATATAATAATATCCAGTTAGGAACTTTCACTTTAGGCAGGAACATGCATTGGTAAAAAATAGCACATTTCCGGGGCCTCAATGAAGTACATATGCTAGAAAAACTTGGCATGAGTCATGGTACATTTAAGAAATTACAACATAATATGAATGAATGCAAATATAACAGACACATTTTCAGATACAGAAACAATGAAGTTAATAACGAGTTAAAAAATTCAAACCAGATATTTACTGTAAAATTTTCATTGGAATAATCAAAAAATTTTAGCAAGTCAGTACAGATCGCTCAAGGTTAGCTTCTTAGCTATTTTTTCAATCAAAATGTGTAGAATGATACACTAAGAACTGATTCATAGATATAATTGTAATTGGAATAACAGTTTCTTTCTTTTGCTTTGTTTTGGTTCTGTTCTCTAAGACAAATTTGCAAGTGCACCTGTAATGTCTAGTTGTAAAAATATATCACTTGCTTGCAACGTGTTGCCTACACGTACCTTCTTGTTCCTAGATGAATGAATGGTGCACCACAATATACAAGCAGCGCCCTCTTCCACTATAGGACTGGACAGCATTGACTGGCCTGTGATCAAACAGGTCACACCATTCAACAGCAGCTTGTGCTTCCTCTCTGCCCACCTGTACTGCAAATGCTTCAACATGTCTGTTGAAGTACAAGGTCTGATACAGCCGAAGGAGCAGATACAACTTTTCTTGCACCACTACAATATGCTGAACACGTCCAAACGTGGGTCCATCATCATCAGTCCAATATAGAAGTACATCAACACCTGCCCGGAACTCATATCCATGAATGTCCACTTTCCCAGCAACTGTAACTTCGGTTCCCCTTCCACAGTTAATTTTTTTGCAAAGTGCCTCATCATCAAGTAGATCACCAAGCATTGCTGCAGCTTGCTGTGACACATTGATATCTTGGCTATCCAGTGACTGATTTGATACTGACCTGTAGCACCGTGCCATTTGGTATCTGTTAGCCAATGTTTTGACAATGTTTTGGTAGTTGCAAGATACACTGGCAATCTGCTTGAAAGGTCTGTGCATTGCTTCAAAACGCAATGCTGAATACTGGGTCAGTGGCCCAAGGTGTTTCAGTGCACGTGGGTAATGCACAAGAAAGTGCTGCTTCGGAGTTAGACTAGCTTCAGGGAAGAGCTGCATGAAGAGCCTGTGGTGATCATCAATCATTGCCTTCAGGACATAGATGGCAGACTTACTGATACTGGGACTCATAATGATTTTGAAGATGTCAATGATTGACAGTAAGAGTTCCCACTCATCACACATCTCATCAATCTTGTCTCCTATCATGAGAGGGATGTTGTATGCAAGGCACGTCATCTGTGCTGATGTCTGTCCACTGGCAGAATATGGATTCTTCAGTGATGCCTGCCTGATTGGGCTTGGTCTGTTTTTGCGGTCCACAAAGCCAAAATTGAATGAGGATATTCTACTGTTCACCTCATCCAGTGTTATGAAACCCTTCTGAACAAGTTTACTCAAAACAAGGTGCATTTCCAGGGGCAAGACTCCCTCTGTAAAATCATGCATTACATCTGGACATAAGTTTTGGGTGGAATGGTAGTAAGGCAATTCATTCAAAACTGTTGCATGCTTCAAGCCAGATTCTGACAAGGGCTTTTGAAGATCTGTATCATAGTTTATTTCATCACGGAGATATTGGGCATCCTCTTTTGGCTGTTTCTGAAGCAACGAGCGATGCCCTCTACAGAATCTACAGTAATAGTTGGCACGGAAACAGGTTGTACATCCCAGCATGGCATGAATGCCAAGATTGTCCCCTACAACTTGGAATAAGTAGGGTTTGACCCTACCCTCAAACTCTTTGCACTTGATAGTGAGTCCATCAGTCCACATGTATCTGCTGCAGATCATCCTTGATTACCTTCAAAACTTCTGAGATGCCATATTTACTCAAAAGCGGAGATGTGATCATAGCTGTGAGCATGATATTTTCCAGCCTAGCCTGGTATTTCCTGGGAAGGGATAACACACTTGTATAAAAGGCACTTACCTTGTGTTTGCCGCGTTTTGACCCAAGCGGATTGGCTGTCTCAAACTCATCATTGTACAACAACAGAGGCACTAAGAATTCACAGTCTTGTCTAGCAGTAGCTTCCTGCCTTTTATAATAGTGACCATCTTTGAATGAATACAAAACATCATTATCTTTTGATCCTTTTTGAGACAGTATGGCGTTCATTACTCCTGGTCGCTCTAAGTATTGTTTAATAGTGTCAGCTAGTGGTATATATTGAAAGGTTTCTTTTTGTGTGCTTTGCAGTGGATCACCTGTCTTTTGATCAATTTTTGGTTTTAAGCAAGTTCCCAACAACACCTCACAAGGCTGAATGAAATCACCTTTCTCAGAGAAATATTTTTTCTGTTGAGTATCTGACATGAGCTCTGAAAATGGATTCTTTGAATTCTCGAATACATCTTGTATATCAGATCTCAGCTCACTGTTAGCTGCATATTGTGGCTCACTTAAGATATCCATCACATCCTGTTGCACAGTTTGTAACACAGAAATAACCAAATCTTGTGCGGTTTGAATGACCTTGTTGGTGTGTGAAGCAGGCACATTAGTCCTTGCCCTGAGTTCTGCTACAAACTTTGCTGCAATATCAGGTAGTCTCTCTGTTTGCGTTTCAAAAGAGACATCTTCCTGCTCACTGCTTTCTCCAACAAACAATGCCTTTTCCTGGTGCAGTTGTTCCAAATTCCCTTCAGTGTTGTTATTCTTTCCTACATGTAGAACAGATCCTTCATAACAGGTTTCACTTTGGTGATCTGGAACTGCTTTTGTAGTTGTGCTTGACGTCTTTATCCGTGCAGCGTGCTTTGAAATGAGATGTTTTCTATATCCTGATAATGTACGAAATGTTAGTCTACATGCCCCTTGCATGCATGTTATACTTACATTTTTTCCCCTGGTTGTTGTATGTGTGTATTTTAAATGATGGAATAGGCAAGAAATATCCCCCCTAATTAAATCAAGACACTGAAAGCATCTGTAACTATCCATAGTGAGATATTGTGCCACACTATTGTCCTACCTCTGCACGCCACCCAGCGAGAAACTTCAATCGAGGTCCAATCTTGGGTATGAAGGATGTGATTATACTTTCACTTAGAAGGGGAAGGGTTTCCACATCAACTTCATTTTCTGGAGAAGAAGAGGGAGAGATTGATAAATAAGGCTTAGTGCAGCATAAACTGATTGTTTTCATATAATACCACAAACACACGTATGGTTGCGCAAATTAAACAAAAGTATATGTTTTAGATAATGATAAGCTGTAAACATTTGCTCATGTTCCAGCTAAAATATCTTCCATTTTGAATAAATCGCATAATCAATGTTTTCTTATTCCACAAGGGTCTATGAAAATCTGAATTTTCAAATGCGATTTTCTCGAAAATTTGGTCTTCGTATAGAAAACTTACTTTTAGATCATACTAGCGAATTGTATCAACCAATTGCTATTTATTTTCAGGTGATGTTACTAACATCCACACAATCAAATTAAGAATGGAAACCTTTTCTAAAGTCATACTAGTAATCACATTAGTTTAGTCAAATTGTGCCTAATTTTTAACAATGTTGGGGCCTATTTAAAGTATAAAGATTAGTTGCATCAGCAATGAATTTGATTTCAAAGAAAGTCATTCAACTTACCAAATGAATCAGAATGATTTGAGAGTTAGCATAGAGGTCAATGTATGCTGATTGGTTAATTAACATTACTAATTCATTGATAATCATATGTGTCTTCTCCATGTGCACTGTCATGCCTATTACTTCAACTTTAAACTGCCATACCGGTAATTGTTTTTTTCAACCTTTTGCGGCTGCCATGATATTGTCTGCATTAGTAGCCATGTTTCTCAGCTTTAGTATGACAAATAACCTGGCTTTATCTGACCAGGGTTTCTCAAAAAGTCTAGCACTCAAGCCTTTCACAGGCCACTTACAGTACCATACAACCATATATAAATTATAGTGTGTTACCTTGAATAGAGGCAACTGACAATTGTTTATCCTAGAAAAGATAATTTGTGGTGTTTAATAATTCTTTTGTACAGCTTATTGTTCAGTGGTGTGAAACATTAAAAAAAATGCATGTGCTGGAACATTTCACTGATATGAAGCAAAATAGGACAGTTAATCCTGTACTAACGAATGTCCTTCCTCCATGTGCACCTCCATCCCAAAATCGAATCAGTTCGTTGGCTTTGCAACTTGCAAGATACATGTACATGTCCCAAGTTTGGATTGTAATCCGTCCATCAGTTCTAATGATTTCATTGAAATCTGGACATGTAGTAAAATAGTGTACAATTTTGTCGGCATAATTTGGTGGCTTAAGCATCTGTAATTTTTCCATATTTAAAAATTATTTTCAGAAAAAGATTTTTTTAAATGAGAAAAAATGTACCCATGTTAAAAATTGTGCCCATTCGTGTACTACAGCGAGGTCACTGCAATTTCGAAAACCACCACAGCCTCTTGGTTTTGAATTAGGCTATTAATATGGGCTAAAATGTGGGTCAACTGCCTTTTAGTTGTGACAAGGAATATCGCAATAGCACATAATTAATAGCCCCATTTAAAACCAAGAGGATGTAGAGTCTATGCTCTGTAAAACAAAGTTAGGCAGATGTTACTGGGCAAATCAAAGTTTGGCGCGTTTTTGTCAAATAATTTCTCCCAACCATTTACTGTATGAAGTTACCTAATAAAAGGTCAGAAATAAGTTGGGTAGGTGTTACTTGGTAAAACTGATGTTGGGCAAATTTTGTCCAACAATTGGGTTATTTTCTACCAACCATGTAGTTACCGATGAAATAATTGGGTAATATTTTTGGGCAAATTAAAGTTGGTCATTTTTGTCCAATAATTGGGTTATTTTCTACCAACCATGTAGTTACTGATGAAATAATTTGCCCAACTAGTGTCGAATATACTACACATTATGGTGAGAATTGGGTGAATTTCCTATTGGGGTAAGTTTTGTTGGTTAAAAGTTGAGTATTTTCTTTTCATCCAACACTGGGTAAATCATGCAAAATCTTTAATTTACCCAATAGTTAGTCGGACACATAAGTGCCCTCATGTTGGGTAAAAATTGGGCACTTGCCCAACATTTTTTTAGAGTGTTTGGATTTCAAAGTCCTGTAGAAAATGAAAGGGCAAAATCCTTAACATGGCAATGGGCAAGACAAATTGTCTCACTTTTTGAAATCTAGACTTCTAGATCTACAGGAAAATGAAAGATCATAAGATGATCTTCCACAAAATAATGTTCATAAAATTGTACATTATTTGACAACTTCAATTTTCTGATGAATCATTCAGTTCAGTGTTGATTATTAAATATAAGTAGGCCTAGATCTAGATCTAGACCTAGACTAGATCTAGTATAGTAATACCAATTTCAGATAACAGAGATAATTGTTCAAAATTACACCAGTCCCACGTACTGTAATACTATCTGGGTACACACCTACAAGTATGTGGTCCAATGTATTGGACCCACAGAACTCTTAAATACGTATTTAAGAGTTCTGTGATTGGACCCCATACAACCCATGATCCATAGAAAATGGAGGGTATTGTGTTATGTATGTATTGTAGCAGGAAACAGCACAGAAATCCGGGTTTTGGCCTGGCTTTGGGTTTTGTAAAATCTTGAACAAAATATTTTTAAATATTCATTTGTGATCTAAAATTCATGGAAACAGTACAATTTGAATTTGATATCTATATCAATCAAATATTAGTTTGGATTAGTAACACATGCATTAAAAGAGCAAATTTGAGGCAAAGTTTAATAGACCAATTGAATTGAAGCGTATTCATTAACCATTGCTGAGGCATATAGAACTAGTCTACATGTTGCCCATGTGTTATGGATATGGGAACAAGTCTACAGCAAGTACCTGTTGATCATGTTCTAAACTTCTAATCTCAATAAGATGTGAACGTACCTTCTAGTATCTTTAACACTGACGGACATCCCCACCTTTGAACGATTTTGGTGAGAGGGTCTATGAACCCATCTTCACTTGAACTATCTCCGCAGCAGTTGTCGAGCTCCATTTTTAGACCCTCAGGCTCTAGCATGCAAGACTCCGATATGATGCGTAATGTACGTACGACGTACGTACAGGCTGCTAGTTACGTTGGTGTATCATATAGCTCGAGCTCCCGGGCCGGGACGGCCGCGCCGGCTAGTATACCGAGTAAATAGAAATAGTACTGCGCATGGCATGCTGATCGCGAGAGACCAGGCCATGTGCGCGCTACCCCGGCCCAAGACCAATACCAGGCAAACTTTACCCAAGTCTGGTTAAACGTAAGTCTAGTCCCCATTGAAGGTTTCCACTGCCATTTACGCATGCGCGTAATTGACGATGATAGTGTGTACGTTCCATGATCATTACTTACGTAGATTATGTAACTCTATAGGCCTACATGGTTAAGATGGCTCAGTTTTCACAAAAGATAAATCTTGGACTCTTTCAGCATCAAACTCGCACAAATTCATCGTCGCTTCAACACTCTGTTATTATAATTTTAAAATAGAAGTAAATGGTTACAATTACAGGAGAGATAATTTCAATTTTTCATAGCAATATTTACACAGCATATTGTGAGCTAAAGAAAATTGAGCTAAATATATTTGGTAAAAGTCGGTGGTCAATTACTACCCTATATAAGCAAACAAAAAAAGGCGCAAAGTGAAATTGGGTAACAGGCGTTGGTCAAATCAGTACCCAATGTATGAGCAAACAAAAATTGAGCAAAGTAAAATTCGGTAAGTGGTGATGGGTAATTATTACTC